GTCATTTTCCAGACTTGACTTGTTTCCCCACTCCCCTGGAAATTAAGCCCTGGTGCAAGCACATACCGTAACACCTGCTTGACGTACTGGTACTTATATCTTAGAAGTCCAAGGACACACAGTCAGACAACCAATTTCTGAGAGTGGAAGTATAATCAGGGTCTGAATAGCAGTGTAAGTTTAGTGGGAGTCCACCCACCCCACCCCATTAAGCTACAAATGCTGATGGTTATTTGTTAGGGGGTTATTGGCCCTATACATTTTGATCTGGATCACCTCCAGACTAACCATATTTTGCAGGAGAGATTCAACTACAGAATGTAAATTTAAGCTTGCACAATCACAGTGGATTAAAATATTCCATCTCCCTAGCTTAACAAATCATTTCTTAATAACAAATTCAGACTTTTTCCAGTTAATAAAACGACAGTAAAATGCACCAAAAGGTGTGGGATAAACAAATTATTAATGAGAAGGTTTATAAACACTGCACAAGGAAATTTGGATGAATGATTACTGCCATGTCAATATAATGTTGCATGCCACCCCAATCTGTGAGTGGTGCAAGATTGCAGGGGTTCCAGGCTCGATTTTCATGGTTTGGTTTCCTAGGAATGAGGGACAGTGAATACTGCAGTGCCTTTATGATATATGGTTTATTTACACATACGGTATATACAACCTGAACCTACAATGGAGACATTCCCAGTATTACACTCCAAGAGGGTCCCTTGCGTCTCCCACAGCCACAGCTTTAGATCCCAGTGGAAATCAGGCATGGCTCTAGCTCTCAGCCGCCCAGCCTGCAGCCTGCATCCAGCTTCTACCTCACACAACTCACTCTTGGCTTTTTTCTTTCTAACTAACTGACAATTGAGAGGGGGCCCTCACCCATTTGTTTTCTGACACAGAGCTACTTCCTTTGTTACCTTAATGACCCATACTTAGGGGCCATTACCAAGAAACATGTCTGGCTACTCCAGCAATTGGATCCTTGTTGGATCTAGGAATTAGGAGGGACTCAGGCATATAGCCTGCCCTTGCATCTGATGATGATGATGATAATGATAATAATATACAACCTGCCTGTGTACAAATCAGAATAAATGCTCAATAAAGACTGACCATGTAAGCTTTCTGCAAGAAAATCAGGACAAATGCTAGTAAACAGGCTAGCTGGAGGAGACCCTGGTGCTCAGAGGCAGAATAAAAATTGGAAAAAGCTTTCATAGCCAATCTGGATGCTCTTGCCCAACCAACAGAGGCCCTCCTACAATGAAGTGACGTAGGGCAGTTTCACAATAATTGGTTCTATTTTTGAAGTTTTCTTGCTAATGTTTCGTTTGTGTTCTCAGAACATTGTTGAGCTGGCGGCAGTGCTTCCTTTTACAAGAGAGAGGTGCCAGGAGGACTCAGGCCTGTGTGGGAGCTTTGCCATCTGCCCTGGAAGGAAGCCATATGCTTCTTAGCTCTAAAGCAAAGATCACACATGCATTTTCAAGCGCTTTTGGGATTACTTGAGAATCTTCTCCAACTACAGTCAATGCGCATCTCCACCATTCACAGGTTATGCTTTCCCCACTTTCAATGTTACCCTGCCACACCATCCACTTTCCTAACCTGGAGGCTGCCCCCAAATGTGAACAGCTCTGTGCAACAATGGTCAATTCAGGATGTAAATATGTGCTTTAGAGGCGAAACTCCTTTTCACATATGACAGAGGGATACAGGGACATGCAGGAGGTGCTAGAGTCGAGCAGTATAGCCTGGCCTAAAAAAATTGGGGAAGTAAAAACCAAGGAACTTAAAAGCACTTCTGCCCATAAAAGAGTAAGCCCCATAGAGTTTGACAGACCTTAATCCCAGGAATGTATGCACAGTGTGCAGAAGGGAACCCCTTTTCAGCTCAAGGCATTATTTTGCCTTTGGTGGTGGATCAAAAGCAAAAGTGGGCAGGGCAACACACATATGACTCTGACCTTTTTACCGTTGTTTACATTCCAACCAGGCAAAAACCAGATGTTTCTACACCTCCAACCAAGCAAGCAAGAGACATTATCACAGTTCAAGGGCACATTCAAACTAGCAAAAGCACTTGAGGAGGACCTGGAAAAGGGCTAGTTAAGAGAGGCTTGAGGAGAGGGGCATGGTCTGTGTAGAACCATCTCAAGGGCTGTATTTGGCCTCTGGTCCCCTCACGCTGGGCGTTTAAGATCAGCGCCTGAAATTCCTGGATATAAGGATCCAAAAGGGCAAGTTAATTGCATGTCTTTGCCACACAGATTTAATTATATTGATTTGGAAAGGGTGTGGTGCAGAGTTTAACAGGTCAGTAAATCTTGAATTACAGTATATCTGTATTGGCAAGTATATACACCCACTTGCTCACCTATGTCCCATTTAAAGCATACTTGAAGGCATACCAAGGGGTTGGTGAAATCAGCCCCTACCAGGGGCGCAGTCCATGGGGGTGGGCAGTCATAAAAAGCACCTATCAGATTATGGAGTGTATGACATATATGTGTGTGGCAACACACCATCACTGTCACAGCAAGATCAAACACAGGAAAATCTTCCCATCCTTCTTTCACTGTGGTAAAGTGACTTTTTCAGTTGGGGGGCACCAATATAGCTCCTTGCCAAGGGTCCCGAGCTACGCCGCTCTGAACATGCTGTAACTCATGACAGAATCTGTTTGTTCATGGCTTTCGTTTGCCAGATTAGCCTCACAAATAATGGATTCTGAACATTTCATTGTTTTAAATTGTTGCTTTGGCAATCTTGTGCCATTTCACAGCTATCTATCATTTCTGATTAGTATAAAGAGAGAGAAAATAACTTCCACAGCTAAACTATCACATCAAACAAGACTTTCTCCTACAGAAGAATCTGTTCGAGAATTTACTAGACTCTGTGTCAATAGCTCATCCATTCTGCTTTGATCCTCCTCTTCAGCAGTGATTCATGTTGTGTAAGTTCATTCTTCACTGTATGAATCTGAATTAATTTGAATTAACTGTAATTAAATTTACTACCACCTGCCACTTGTAAGATAAAGATGTGGAAAAAGACTGATCAATTGAAGTCAATGGCAAGCATCCACCGGCTTCCATAAAGGCAAGATTTTACCAGATTGCTTCATAAAGAAGGATTCCATTAGATGCTCTATTGGCACAACAAATCATACGTTATTATTTATAGAGAATTCCTGCATTGCAGGGGGGTTGGACTAGCTGACCCTCTAGGTCCCTCCCAACACTAAAATTCTATGACAACTGGAATTTTGGGTTTGAGTGTGAGCTGCACAAAGCTGTGCACAAGAATTTTCTAAACACTTCACCTACATGTTAAAAAGATTATGGGGGAGAATATATCAGAATCCCATTAGTTTAGGAGTAATATAGGCATTTTAATTGTCTAGAGACTTTTCACGGTAACAATTTTAGCACTTGCAGTTATCATGGGAAGGTGCTATTCACATACAGTACAAGAGCATTTTGGTTTAATTTCCTTTTGTCTTTAACACCCTGAATCCAAGGGTCTTGCCTAATAACATAAGCCAAGGATTCTAGGGTGAAAATTTAAATAAATAGAATGGCAAAAGTCAATCATAGGGCTGTTCACGTTATACTGAACACTGGTACAAACTGTCTCTATACACGTACAAGTGTTTGCGTGACAGAGTATACTGGTTCATTTGTACTGCTCAGCCATTGCATTCGAAGGTGGATAAACTTATAGTTATCAAACATTACACATAATGTACTACTTTTTATGTACACAGGTGCATGGATTGTACACTTGTTGAATGTAACATGCGAACACCCCTCAAATATTGTGCCATAAAGTAAAACCAATGGTGTGGTGAGCAATAGCCATTGGTGATTATGCAACAAGTTGGATTCCTGTAGAAAGCATTTTTGCTATAGCATATTCTGCAAGAATGTACAGCAGGTAAAACAGGTCTTTCAAGCATCTGGGAAGGGACTAGTATTGATAGGAAATAATGCTTCTCAACAACTGCAATTATATCAAGAAAAGTTCTCTTTTGGCCTGATCAGTACATATATATTTTACAAACACCACCTGATATTCATAGAGCAGCCAGTACTTGTGCGGAGTCTCATATCTAGGGCCTTAAATACATCATTTACATCAACAGATTTTACAGTCTGATGTTTCCAGTGGAATCTTGCTTGACTTTTGAAGAACGAAAACTGCTGTGTTAAAAGAGCTGGAAAACCAACAGGATCCGAGTTGTCTTTTACCCAAGAACTTTCCAAAAGTAAGAGCTGTTTGACAGTGCAACAGACTCCCTCGGATGGTGGTGGACTCTCCTTTGTCGGAGGTTTGTAAGCAGAGCTTGGATGGCCATCTGTCATGGATGCTTCAGTTGAGATGCCTGCATTGCTGGGGGTTGGACCAGACGACCCTCAGAGTCTCTTTCAACTCTGCAATTCTATGAATGCAAGGAACAGAGCGGAGTCCCTGACTGCCCTTCGTGAGGGCGGTGCGTGTCTGCTCCTAGACACCACCACCAATCCCTGGCCGCCCTGCCCACAATATGAGAAGAGGAAGTCACTAGGCAGGAGCAGTAAACAGGGGGTGAGCCAAACTTGCTAAGAAGTTGTCTTCTTAGCAACCCCCCATGGAGCCAGCGCTCAGCAAAAATAAAAAAACAAACCCTGCGTTTCTATGGTGACCCTATGGATTTAAATTTTTAGCTATCTCTCCTCTCCTCCCCAAATCACCCTTCTTGTCAAATAAACTCCGCCCGCCCGCCCCAGAATCCCACGATGCCCCCGCCCCGAGGAACGTGCAATAGGCGACTGTAAGCACCGACGCCTGGCGCTTCTGCGCCTGCTCCCAACGGCGCGCGCAGGTTCCTTAAGGCGGCCCCACCCTCCCTCGCTATTATAACCACCCGTAGAGAGGCCCCCTGACGCATGCGCAACTCCTCTTCTCGAGCAGGCGCGAGGCTCTTCCCTTTTGCCTATTCCGAGGAGGAGGAGGAGGAGGGTGGGAACCGGGTGACGTCAAGGCGCGGCAGCCATTACACGGAGGGGAGAGAGCCAGCGAGCTTCCGAGTAGTCTCCGCCGCCTCCTCCACATTGCTGCCGCTCCTCTCGCCGCCTCTGAGGGACGGATCCGGCCCTTCCTGCCCCTCTCTCTCCTTCCCTGCCCCTCCGCTCGTCGTTTCTTTCCCAGCGAGAGGCAGTGCAGTCTCTGTGCGGAGGGGGAGGAGGAGGAGGAGGAGGACGGCGGCGGGGGCTGGGCTGGGGCGGCGGGTGCCGGCGAGAGGCAGAAGAAGGGAGGAAGGGAGGAGGAAGCGGGGGAAAGAGCGGCGGCGGCGGCGGCTGGGCGAGCAGCGAGGATGGAGGAGAAGGTCTTCACCAAGGAGCTCGACCAGTGGGTGGAGCAGCTGAACGAGTGCAAGCAGCTCTCCGAGGGCCAGGTGAAGAGCCTCTGCGAGAAGGTGGGTAGCCAGCGGCGCCTCCGAGGGGGACGGGGGGAGGGGACCCTGCCGGGGGCGGCGGCAGAAGGGACGAGCGGAGGCGGGAAACCAAGGCCGCTGCTTGGAAAGGGAGGGAGGCCCTTGGGGTGCCGGGGGACGTTAACCCGGGAAGGGTGCTCGGATGGAGGGAGGGAGCGAGGAGAGCGGGGGTGGGGGTCCTTCCTCGGAGGGAGAGAGGAGAGGCGAGGGAGGAAGGTCTGCTTAGGCGACCTTTGGGGTGAGGAGCGATATGGGGGGCAGGAGCAGCCCCCCAATCCCAGCGCAGGGTTTCCGCAGTTGGCGCAAGAGGCACCGTCGCGGTGGAAGGGCCGGAAAGGCCGAAGACGGATGAGGATGGGGATTGTGAGGAGGGGGGAGTCCCACGGTGGATGAATAGCGGCTTCTGCCTTGAGCTGCTGCTAGTCGTGGGGACTCCGCTGAAGGGGGCAGGAAGGGCGGGTAGCGAGCGGGGTGTGTCCCTCGGGCAGGTGCAGTCTTTGGAGGGGAAAGGCCGCCGCCAGCGCTGCCTCCCCTCTCCAGCCTCCCACCCCTCTCCCGATCGAAGGGGGTATTTTGCCCCATGACCGGCCGAGAGGATCGGCCCCCCCCCCCCGGCAGCCCTGCGCCCCCTGTCGCATCGACCGCTTCTCTATCTAGTTCCTCCGCTCCTCCTTTTTTCCGCTGACTCTTAAAATGGCGCCTTTCGCTGAAAATACACAGTGCATTACTGTGCTGATAGAAACCCTCTTGTGCTTCTTAGCGGGCAAAGCTTTCTCTTTCTATGGGGGGCAGCAGCAAGATCCTGGCGAAAAGAAAATCTTGACAAGACGTCAATGTACTTTGCACAGGCACACTTTTTTGTTTGGGTCTCTCTTACCACCAAGCCTTGTTCTGTTGCTTTGCGTTAGGGAAGGGGAGATCTGGTCACTTGAACACTATCTGGGTGGTTAAGCATGAATGAGTAGCAGTTGGGAATAGTTAATAAGGAGAGAGGGGGAGAATAAGGGGGATAAAAGTGGCAAAGTATCCGATCTTTGTGTAGGGTAGCTTTGTATTGTTGCATGCAGTAATTGAATAATTATTGTCAAATTATTTCACCTTGGTACTTAAAAAAATTCAATGCTATATTTATCTTAATTCCATGGACATAATGAATTTTTTTATGGGGAAGGGATTGACAAACTTGCCTCAATGCAAGTATGCCAAATACTAAATGACATCCCATTAACCTGGCATGTTAAGATATGAAGGTTTGAATTTCCTAATATATTTCAGGTAAATTTTATTATTGGAAGTTTACATAATCAGGGTAGTTACTAGTACATTGGACTGACAAGCTTTCGTTAGAATTCATAGAATTTATTTCTGCTTACTGTATTTTCTTGTGTGGCAGTTACGGCAGCCTGAGCACACTTAGTTGCAGGTTTCATTGGCATCTATGTAAGGCACTTTTAAATGCCTCTGCTTGGGGTTGAGGTGTAAAACTGCTTGTAAAAGTATTGCTAATTAGCAACATGTTGAGCATGTACCGTGTTGGCCGAGTTAACTATTGGGGTTCTTGTTTCTGAACAACTTAGCTGCTGTGGTAGCATATTGTGGCAATTCACTGCTGTTCAGACTGTAATGATTTGGGAAGCAGAATATATCATACAGTATGGCCTCATGTTGTTGTTGTTGTTGTTGTTGTTGTTTAGTCGTTTAGCTGTGTCCGACTCTTCGTGACCCCATGGACCAGAGCACGCCAGGCACTTCTGTCTTCCGCTGCCTCCCGCAGTTTGGTCAAACTCATGCTGGTAGCTTCAAGAACACTATCCAACCATCTCGTCCTCTGTCGTCCCCTTCTCCTTGTGCCCTCCATCTTTCCTAACATCAGGGTCTTTTCCTAACATCAGGGAGTCTTCCCTTCTCACGAGGTGGCCAAAGTATTGGAGCCTCAGCTTGGCTTCATACTAATGTACAAAGACAAAAGTCCTGTGCTACTCTTCCTCTCCCCAGCTTCTGCCTGTTGAATTCAACCTTGTGCTGTCAGTTGCTGTTTACAGTGTGTGTCCATTTGTTTTTTTTTTTTTTTTTTTTTTTTTTAATAAATTTTTATTAATTTTCCAAACATAAGATAAGAAAGCAAACAATGCACAAAACACCGACATACAAACATATAAACATGTATAATTTCATAGCCATTTTTCATAAACCTTACTTTCCGGACTTCCCCATACCTCCCCTTTCTGCATCCTTGTTTTATATTTCTTCAGCAACTCCTCAATCAACTAATTATTCAATTCAATTTCTTTTAAGTTCTTCTAATATTATTAATTACAGCTGCAGTTCTCTGTTTCCCAACCCCTTGACATTTTAACATTCCTGAATTTTACAACAAGTTCTAAGATAAACTTTAAATTTCTTCCAATCTTCTTCCACTGTCTCTTTCCCCTGGTCACGGATTCTGCCAGTCAATTCGGCCAGTCCCATATAGTCGATCACCTTCGTCTGCCATTCTTCCAGTGTGGGTAGTTGTTGTGTCTTCCAATACTTTGCTAGAAGAATCCTTGCTGCTGTTGTCGCATACATAATAACGTCCTGTCCATCATTCTCACCAAGTGGCCGACAATGCCCAAGAGAAAAGCCTCTGGTTTTTTAGGGAAGGTCCATTTAAGAACCTTCTTAATTTCATTATAGATCATTTCCCAAAAAAGCTTTTATCCTCGGGCAGGTCCACCAAAGGTGATAAAAAGTACCTTCAGTCTCATTACATTTCCAACATTTGTTATTGGGCAGATGATAAATTTTTGCAAGCTTGACTGGGGTCATGTACCACCTATACATCATTTTCATAATGTTTTCTCTTAAGGCATTACATGCCGTAAATTTAATACCGGTGGTCCACAACTGTTCCCAGTCAGCAAACATAATGTTATGACCGATATCTTGTGCCCATTTTATCATAGCTGATTTCACCGTTTCATCCTGTGTATTCCATTTCAACAGCAGATTATACATTCTCGACAGATTCTTAGTATTGGGTTCTAACAGTTCTGTTTCCAATTTTGACCTCTCCATCTGGAAACCTATTTTCCTGTCCTGTTTAAATGTCTCGTTTATCTGAAGGTAGTGCAACCAATCTCGCACTTTGGACTTTAATTTCTCATAGCTCTGTAATTTAACTTTTTCCCCATCTTGTTCTAGAATTTCACAATATTTTGGCCATTTAGACTCCATATTAAGTTTTTTCACCTCTTTAGCTTCCATTGGTGACAACCACCTGGGAGTTTTACTTTCCAATAGATCTTTATACCGCATCCAAACATTGTATAATGCTTTCCTAACAATATGGTTTTTGAAACCTTTATGCTGTTTTACCTTATCATACCATATATATGCATGCCAACCAAATCTATTATCAAACCCTTCTAGATCCAAAATATCTGTATTCTCAAGAAGTAGCCACTGTTTCAACCAGCAGAAAGCCGCCGATTCATAGTAGAGTCTTAAGTCCGGCAGGGCAAACCCCCCTCTATCTTTAGCATCAGTTAGATTCTTAAATTTTATTCTGGGCTTTTTGCCCTGCCAGACAAATTTAGATATATCTTTCTGCCACTTCTTGAAACAGTCCATCTTGTCCAAAATCTGCAATGTCTGAAATAAAAACAACATTCTAGGCAATACATTCATCTTGATAACAGCAATTCGGCCTAACAAAGAAAGTTTCAACCTTGACCATATTTCTAGATCCTTCTTTACCTCTGTCCAACATTTATCATAATTGTCCTTAAATAAATTCACATTCTTAGATGTTAAGTTTACCCCCAGGTACTTTACTTTTTCGTTATCACTAGTCCTGTTTCATTCTGAAACTTCTCTTTTCGGCCAATGTTAAATTTTTATCCAACACTTTCGTTTTCTGTTTGTTCAGTTTAAATCCTGCTACTTGACCAAATATCTCAATTAGTTCTAATACTCTTTTAGTACTAGTATCTGGCTGTTGCAAGGTCAATACTAGGTCATCTGCAAATGCCCTTAACTTGTACTGTTTGGCTCCGACTTGTACTCCTTTAACCAACTGGTCTCCTCTAATCATATTTAACAAAACCTCCAGGACTAATATAAACAATAGAGGGGATATTGGGCACCCCTGTCGTGTACCTTTTTCTATAGGTATTTCTTCCGTTACCACATTGTTTACAATTAACTTTGCTTTTTGTTTAGAGTATATTGCACCTATACCATTTTCAAACCCTTGACCTACCCCCATCCCTTGGAGATTCTTCTTCATAAAACTCCAACCAATATTGTCAAAGGCTTTCTCCGCGTCCACAAAAATTAAAACAGCCTTCCTATTAATGTCCACTTCTAACAGTTCCAAAATGTCTATAATGTTCCTCACATTGTCCGACATATATCTCCCTGGAAGAAAGCCAGTTTGGTCTTTATGAATCTCCCCTACCAACACTCTCTTCAGTCTTTTTGCCATAATGTCCGCAAAAATTTTGTAATCCACATTAAGTAATGATATAGGGCGGTAGTTTTTAACCTGGTTCTTTTCAGTCTCAGTTTTCGGTATAAGTGAGATAAAAGCTTCTTTCCACGACTCTGGTGCCTTTTCCCCCTCCAGAATTTCGTTACATACTTCCTTCAGTGGTTGTACTAACCATTCCTTCAACACTTTATAGTATCTGGCGGTCAAACCATCTGGTCCTGGAGCTTTTCCCAATTGCATCTTCTGAATGGCACCCTCTATTTCTTGTCCTGTTATTTTCTCATTCAAAATCCTTCTGCTTTGCTCTGAAATTTTTGGTAATCCATGTTTCTTAACAAATTCTTCTATTTCCTGTTCATTAACTGGCCCTTGTGCATATAATTTCCTGAAATAACCTTGAAAACAATTACTTATCTCATTTGGTTTGTGGATAATCTTTCCGTCCACTTCTAAACTTGTCACAGTGTTCAATTTTTGCCTCTTTTTCAATTGCCATGACAGAAATTTCCCACATTTATCTGCTGATTCAAATGTCTTTTGTCTCATTTGCTTTATTTTCCATTCTATCTCTTGATTCATCAATTCCATATATTGCACCTGATAGTACTTTATTTCTTTCAGAATCTCATGAGACTTTGGTTTAGACCTCAATTTCTTTTCACCTTCTTTTATTTTTTCCAGAATTTTTCCTTTCCTTTCATTTTGATTTTTCCTTTTTATGGAGTTCTGTTGTATTAGGAAACCTCGCATCACGGCCTTACTTGCGTCCCAAATTATTCTTTTTTCCACTTCTGTTCTCAAATTTATCTCAAAATAATCTTTCACTGTTTTTGGGCCTTCTTATAAATCTCTTCATCTCTGAATAGGGTGTCATTCATTCTCCATCTGAAGGATCCAGTTGTTGTAAGTTTCATCTCCATCTTTACAGCATTATGGTCGGAGCAAGTCTTTGAGCAGATTTCTACCTTTTTAATCCTTGGCGCCATACTGCTAGTTACCCAAATTTGGTCAATTCTTGTCCATGTCATTTTTGCTTCAGAGAAAAAAGTTCCCTCTCTCTCAAGAGGGTTCCTTGTTCTCCAAATTACAGTGTGTGTCCATTTGTCCTGTGCAAAGTACCCAGAAGAATCATATGTCCATAGCTTCTGGTGTGTGTATTGTGAAATGCTAGTTTGTGGAGTCACTTATTTCTTCAGTTTGGGAAAATTGGATTTTTTTGTGGTCTTAACTGGTTTTGTTTCTAAAATGGCAAGCAAACTCTTCCTCTACATTCCAGGAGCTACCCAGTTTCCTACTGTATGTATATAACCTGGGGCAGTCTGAGGAGAGCAAGCAGTGACACAGAGCTGTAGTAGACGTGGTAACTTGTGGGCGCAACATGCATTTAATTTGTAGATTGTAAATCCCTTCACTTTTTGTAGCATTTTCTGCTGCTGAGGTGGATGTGACTAGGGTGTGAGACAAAGAAGTTCTTGCAACTATACAGTAGTGTATAAACATGTCTTTACTGTGCTGAAATACAAGAAAATTGAAATGCATGGAAGTCTCATAGATGATCTTCCTTCAAATGACTGGTGCCAATGTGAAAACATAAGTAATGGTTGAAAGAGTTGTCTTGGCATTTTTAGCTTTTCTTTTTATTACCCCTTGTTATCTGGAGTGCTTCTTAAAGTTAGTATCAAGGGAAGTTTGTTAACTGTGGCACTAGAAATATATTTCATGGTTGACAAGGCTTCTGGGGCAAAACTAGCTGTCAGCTTGTGAAAAGTACAGAAATAAAATCTTTTCCCTCTGGTTTACCCTAGCCGCCCCCCCATAAATAAGCCACTTTAATTTCTCCCAAACAAATAAGGAATATGCATTGGTGAACCCAAGTGAGAGCACTAATAAAATTTGTGTGTGTCCTCCAGCCACCAGTTTCCTCCCTCCAAGCAGAGCATTGCATTCTGTCTTCCGCATCTTTTCCTTTTCCAATTAGCATTTAATATTATGTGATGGCAGGGAGAGCATGCCCAGTGCTCATGGGGCTATTTTTTTAGGTTGCCCCCTTAATTTTGGGGGCTATTTCTGAAAACCTCTGTGCCTGACTTTTCTGATGCCTTCCTTTTGTGGTCCCATTTCTGTTATCCTGTTTGCGTAAGCCACCTGAGTTTGTTATTAGTGGGGAATGATTTCTCTGTTTAAGTGAAATGTGTATGGCCACACAGCTTCTAAGGAACATAGTTTGGCACCTATCAATTGTCAAAATTCAGTTGGTCTGGAAGGTAGGCTTCTCAATAAACAGGTTTGTTTGGTGGAAAGCAAACATTTAGGGAGAAGTGCTTTATTATGATCATTTAGAAATACATTTCTTATTGATAGGTAAGAGTGTGCTTGAAACATTTTTTATTCTGCAGAGAGAAGAAAAGATCACTTTCAGTATAATCAGCATATATTGCAGTCAAGGCAAAGCATAACAGATGGGTGTAGGAGGAATCACCTTTAGTGTAAAGAACAGTCAGAAATCTAAGGCAAAGTCCTTAAGAGGTGAGTCTAGATAAGTAACTGGGGTGTTTTGAGGTAATGAGATTAAATTTGCCCTGTTATCTGGTTTTGCCTGTTGGACTCTTAAAGAAATGACAGCAGGAAATATCATCCACTGACACAGATATCGGAAATATACAAAAATACTTCTTCTACATGCTGCTCCTTCCTATTTGATAGGTTGATAGCAAGAGAAACCAACCCGCCTTCCCCAAGCTTCTTGCTTTTCACCAAAGCTGTAGCTGGTCCTAATTGCCTTTTTAGTTCAAGTACTTCAGTAATAGAAAAGCAATCAAGAACTGGACCTAAAACTCAGAACTAAATTGAATGCTAATAGGAACCTGCTGGAAAGGAGTTTATAATACAGTATTCTCATAAGAATTAATGAAGCTTTTTGACCATTGTTTTAAGCTAGCAAGTTCCACTTCATTTGGTCTGCAGACTATAAACATAAAATACAGCATAGGGTTATCAATGCAACAGTAGCAGAACAACAGCATACATGCACACAAACTATATCTTTTAAGAGAATATAACAAAATTAACAATCAGAAATAGTTAAAAATGCAGACATTTTGAATGCCTCTAATAATTTTGGGCTGGTTTTGATGGCTACAGCAGAGAACCTGGCTCTGTTTTCTGTGATGTTGGGTTGGAGGCTGGCATTAAAGTTGAAAGATTGACTTTATCTGAAAGAGAAAGTATTGGGGAGGTAAATTTGGATCTTGTTATCGTGCATAATTTTTTAGGAACACAATTCAACTGATTTACTTTTGCAGGCGCAAGCTCTCATCCAGCCTGGCAGAAGATAGGGTAATGAATAGCCAGTGGTAAAAACTTTGTTATTTAACCAGTTTTAGCAACAATCAAAACCTTTTCCTTGTGACCTCATTGTGAGAAGTGCAATAGGCTGCATCCTAAGAACTGTACTTATACGGCTGAAATCCATGTTGACTCATGTTATATTACCCCAAGGTCCTATCCTAGTTAACAATCTAGTGGCTAAACTATAGCTTCTGGTCAGTGTTCAGAGGTAGCTCCATGCATAGCACTTTAACAATCTGAGCCCCTCCCCCCAAGCATGGATAACTGTCTAGGGGAGTGGTTTTCAACCAGTGTGCTGTGGCGCCTTGAATGATGGTCAGGGGTGCCTTGCCTTGATGGTCAGGGGTGCCGTGGGCAACACAGGCCTCTGTCCCTCTTTCCTCCCTCCCTCCTTCTCTGATGCCCTCTTGCATGTTTGCTTCTCAAAGGCTTGTGGCGGCTATTTGTTGCAGCAGCCCTGGCTACAAGCTCCCTAGGTGAATGGTGCCACTGGGGCTGGACAGAAGGTGCTTCCCAAGCCCCTGTGGGGCAGTGTGAGGAGGCACGTCTCTTTGGGGCAGGGTGGGTAGTACACAAGACCAGGAGCGGCAGCAGCGGCTGCCCAGAGGACTCCCAAGAAGAGGGGAGAGGAGAGGAGGCTGAGAGAACACTCTACAAGGGAGGGTGTTTGGTAAGGGGCTGCCGGTTCTGGGCTGCTGAGGCTACTGAGCTCCTCAGGGGTGTGAGGAAAGAATGTAGTTGGCCAAGGGAGCTGTGGACCCAAAAAGGTTGAAAGCCTCTGGTCTAGGCCAATCTAGGATTGGCCACAGCAGGCGTATCAGCCTTGGCTTGATAAAAAATGCTGTGTGTCACAAAAGCTACTTGGGCCTCCAATGACAAAGCTGGATCTAGGAGCACTCCAGACAGCAAGCCTGATCCATAATGGGTGTGTAATGATGTCTAGAACTGATTAGACTCTCCTGAGAAGACAAGCTATGTACCCACAGCACCTCTATTTTGTTAGGAACAAGTTTCTATTTATGTGCACTCATCTAGCTATCACCATCTTACTGGTTCAACATTTCAGTGCCTCACCTAACAATGATAAAAATGAGAAGTAGAGTTGGATGTCATTGACATACTGGTGAACCCTTGGATGACTTCTTTCAGCATTTCATGTAAATGTTGAAAAGCATTGGAGATGTGATGGAATCTTGTATAAATTATATGATGGTAAGCAGTTGTTGTCAAAGAGTAGATCAATTACAGCTGTAGAAAAACCATCAAAGATAAAGACAGCTGCCTTGATGGATATGGTACCCAATGCGGTTCAAGAAAATTCTTAAAAGAGAAATAATTTGCTTTTTGTTTTAAAAAAGTATGGTCTGAAGATGCATGAGGCTACCAGATTGCTGAAGCTAAGCAGGCCTAAGTCTTCTAGGGTGTACCCAGTGCTAGAAACTGAGATATGAAAGCTAGGAGCTAAATGGCACCTTAAACCTAGGTTATGGACGCAACAACAGAATGTCTAGGCGTGCTTTTTTATAACAAGAATACAAAGTTGATAGATGTGGTTTAGAAAATATATGTAGGGCCTCTCTTCTCTCTTCCCTCTCCTTTAGTTTTTAGAGAAGTTAACATTAGAGATGAGACTACTGGAAGTGGCAGAAACAACATTTCTGATCTGATCGTGGAGCTCCCAGGCTTTTAACAAACGTTACAAAAGGATAATTCATCAATCTTGAGAGTTCCATAGTTGGTATGATAGCATAGAGATAACTTTTGCTTGGTAACCAGTGTGAAATACTGATTTCTATACTCAACCAGGACAGGTCCCCAAGTAATGTTTGATGTTGGGAAACACTAAAATGCAAGCTAAAGTTCCTAAAAATACTCTGAATTATCCTCATCCCTCTGAGAATAAATATGCTAAACTTCTGTTTAGCAGGAAAGGTATGTTTGACTTTGAAGGAGTGCCTGCCTTCAAGAAGATAAGTTCTTTTTCACTCTTCTTTTCAATATTGGTGACCAATATTAATATTTCCACTAATGCTAAAAGACACACACACTTGGTAGGAGATATGATTGGAGAACAGGGCCATTCCTTCAGATTGTTGTTCAACCCCCAGTATGATCTCAGGAAAATATTAAATGTATTGACAGGGTTTTCCTCATTGTTCACCTTTCTTGAACCCATATAAATGGTTCATGGGAGGTGTGTATGAGACAATAGACAACAGGGTGTAAGTGAAGTGTCCCCAGGGAGTAGAGAGACAGATTTGGTGGCTGCAGGACTTGTTTGCATCACAGGTGCTGTATTTAATTCAGTGAATTCAGTATTTAATTCAGAGATCCTGACCAACAAGCACTTCAGAATATCCACCCAAGTTAAGGTCATGCAGGAGTCCACAGTTGAGTCACTAAGTGAATTGGCTCAAGGCCGTTGGACTGTAGGAAGGCTTTTCTTTAAAATGGAAGAAAATTATTCATGATTCAGATCTTGTTATGGACGTGGCAGCTTTGGAAAACAGTATGTCCTGGGCTATTGCATGTAAAAGATTATTTAGAAATAGATGGATGCAGGTGGCTCAGTACCATATCCTCTGGGTCATTCCATATCAAGTGATCCAACTTTTTTTTACCTCATGTCATCCAATTTTCTTAATATTTTGTACACTTATTGAATGATCAAAACTAAGTTTAAATCTAAAATTTTCATTATTTATCTCATCCTGTTTGTGAGTTATAAGGGTTTGAAATTTCCAAAATGACAATTTTGGCCTACACATAAACCTTAAAAGCTCAGTCCAGAATTGAGATACATCAAAACCAAAAACATCAATCTTTTCAGAACTTCATGGGCTTTAATACAATATATCACATGATGGACTTACTTTAAAATTTCAATTACAAAATTGAAAATTTTAAAAAGTGAATAAAAAATGATTTAAAATTTCCAAAAATTTGTATTGGCTATTTAATATTTCTAAGAGCTACCTGCAAAATTTCATCTTGGGATCTCAGTGGGATCACATAAAACAATATTGTACATTCACCTCTGCCTCTCTTAGCTGTTGGAAAGGATTTGAGACCTTCATGCAGCATTTAAAATTAATTATTGTATATTAAATGTAAATACCCTTTTAGCATGTTAAATTGGATCTCAGTTGATTTAGGCCAGAACAAGATTTTCTGGAAAAAATTCAATTCAGAATATTCTAGAAAACACATCACTGAGTGGATTTGTCTAATGAGGTAGAGGCATTGTTACTGCATGAAGCCTGGAATTTGAATAGTCAGGACTGGAGGAATCCCAGTCCATTATGGCAAGTGAATATCTGCTGCTTGAACACTTCTTTCTTTGTCCCAACATTGTTCTTTTGGCCCAGGTCTAACAGGAGGTTATAAAAATTATTGCGGTTTCAACCTTTTGTGACACCGTCACCAGCAGTGGCACAGAAGTTGTAGGCTATTCCCTTCAAAAAAATTGAGCCTGATATGTGCCATGATGGTTATGGTGGTATAGGAAGGTTTGGTGGTGGCACTTGTACAACTGGGAGAAAATAAATAGTAGTGATTCTCTGGTTGATGAGCCTGAGTGTGCTTTGGAGCTTAGTGTGTCATCTAGTACCTTTGAGTACTACCACTCATTCTGCCTTTTGACCCAAATCAATACAATGTTTAGAGAGAGAAGCCAAGTAAAACTTGAGCTCTGAATGTGTATTTCATTGATGGAGTTTCTTTTAACAAGGTGCTGGAAAGCATGTCAGCCTGAACAACTCTTACATTACAATTTTCTGGATAGCTTCTGGGCAGATAAATCATTTATGATATTTACTGCATACCCATTTTCACATGGTAAAAATGCTACAAGAAGGCAATACTTTCAGTGCCACTTTTCCCCCCCGAAGTGGGAATATAGCACTAGGAACATAGGGAGCTTCCTTTTATACTGAATCAAACTGTTGGTCCATGTAGTGCAGCATTAAAGGTAAAGGGACCCCTGACTGTTAGGTCCAGTCGCAGACAACTCTGGGGTTGCGGTGCTCATCTCGCTTTACTGGCCGAGGGAGCCGGCGTACAGCTTCCGGGTCATGTGGCCAGCATGACTAAGCCGTTTCTGGCTAACCAGAGTAGCGAACCAGAGGTAGCGCACGGAAACGCCGTTTACCTTCCCACCAGAGCGGTACCTATTTATCTACTTGCACTATGATGTGCTAGGTTGGCAGGAGCTGGGACCAAGCAACAGGAGCTCACCCCATTGCGGGGATTTGAACCGCCAACCTTCTGATCGGCAAGCCCTAGGCTCTGTGGTTTAACCCACAGCACCACTTGCGTCCCATTGTCTGACAGTAATTATACACATGGGATTGAGCTTATCAGAAAAAAGGAAATGGAAAACTGGATAATTTTAAGTAAAAAACTAGGTAATATGAATTAAGTAATTAAATAGAACAGTAATGTTTATCTGCTGATGTATAAAAGAACAAGTACCAAAGATCATTAGTTTGTCAACAGGTATTTTCAGTACAGTACAGTGGTACCTCGGGTTACATACGCTTCAGGTTACAGACGCTTCAGGTTACAGATTCCACTAACCCAGAAATAGTACCTCAGGTTAAGAACTTGGCTTTAGGATGTGAACAGAAATCGTGCAGCGGCTGCAGCGGGAGACCCCATTATAGCTAAAGTGGTGCTTTAGGTTTCAAACAGTTTCAGGTTAAGAACAGACCTCCAGAACCTAACCCGAGGTTCCACTGTATAGGATTGTGGTAAGGTGTTTAATCATATTATACTATTGGGTAGTCTGTTAGGGGCCTGGTTCTATCAAAATATGACTAATTAGGATCATTGAGGATGTTGTAATCTTTTGTGGTCAAATTAAGGCTTTTCTGCAACTTGAGGCGCAGAAAGTTAGGGTTCCCAGAAGATTGCTGCTTCGCCTTAACCCAGCAATTTATTCTGGGTAAAGTGCATGCTTGGAGCTCCCCCATCTGGAATTGTTTCCTCATTTATTTCATTGGAGATTGCTGTCCTAAAAATAATTCCCTTATACAGTACATGGAACATAAGATCTGGTTGCAAGTTTATTCCTAGGTATACTGGCTGCATTGGTTTTTTAAAGAATTGGATGAACCATTGTTAATGGAGTTCCCTTCATGAAATCCTGTATCTTCTTAAAAGAAAAAAATCTATGTCAGCTATGATTTCATGATTTTAAAGTACGGTGGTACCTTGGGTTACAAACACTTTGGGTTACAAACTCTGCTAACCCGGAAGTAGTACCTCGGGTTGAGAACTTTGCGCCAGGATGAGAACGCAAATCGCACACTGGCAGTGGGAGGCGTTCTAGTTAAGAACGGTTTCGGGTTAAGATTGGACCTCTGGAACAAATTAAGTTCGTAACCCGAGGTACCACTGTATTGCTTATATTAATTGTGCTGCAGTAGTATGGTTGACCAGGGTTTCTATTGTGGTGATCTAAGCACAAGATAGAACCAACCATACAAATGAGCCAGCTGCAAGTGGAACTCTTCTTTGCATGCAGAGGAGTTTTCTTTGTGGATTTGGTTAAGAGAAACGTATTGCATTGCATTTTAGCACACTGATAAATATCTAAGACGGGGACCACCACCCATAAAATTAACACTTACTGTTTTAGACTATGCATCAAAAATTACTGATCTGGTGCTTGCCAACACCACCCACATACACACCACACCCACATATCCTAGACATGGATCCTTGTGGAACCATCTTGGATATGTACGTAGTATGACAGCAAAACCACTTACAAATCATATAATACTTCACTGTACACAGAGGCGTTGTAGTTTTGAGGGGGTCCTTTAAAATTAAGAATTCACAAGGGTCTGTATTGTGCCATGGAAGGTCTGGAAAGCACCAGCTCCATTAAAAAAATGGTTTAGCCAATGGAAACAGGATCTATGATTTGGTGGTGAACATTAAAAAAAAAGGCAATTTCAAGAGGATCTGTTGCTAGATCCAACCTGTCTGCGTATTCTGTCTGGCACTCATTTTCTCTTTTATGTGACCCCCCTGACTGCTCCATTTTCTCCTCTCTTGCAATCTCTGTTATGTCCCCTTCTTCTACTCTACTGCTCCACTTTCTATTAAACTGCCTGTCTGAGCCATGTGTTCCTGACACCTGGGGACCCAGATCTAAGAATTTCATTCCTGAAGTTGGGTCACTTAATTCAGGAGAACTTGCTTCCAGGAATGTGTGTCTCAAATGTATTACCTGGCACTTATATTTGTAACTAAAGAAAGATGAGCAGGTGGAATGATTTAAAATAAATGAACAAGTATTATCTCTGCAAATTCATGTAAAGCTGTTTTTTTCTGCTGCAGGCTAAAGAAATCTTGACAAAAGAATCAAACGTGCAAGAAGTACGGTGTCCAGTCACAGTTTGTGGAGATGTCCATGGACAATTTCATGATCTCATGGAACTTTTCAGAATTGGAGGAAAATCACCAGACACAAATTACTTATTTATGGGGGATTATGTTGACAGGGGATATTACTCTGTTGAAACCGTAACACTTCTGGTAGCTCTCAAGGTAATATTTTAAAATGAATGTTCCTATTGAAATATACAATGCCTGTATAGTCTGAATTGCTGTAAGACTTACAGTACTAATGAACATTATAATGACTGAGTCATTGGGGTTGGAGGTTCTACACTAATGAAAAAATGATGTTGGAGGCAACACAATTGTATTGCCCAAAGAGACTGCATACTAAATGGGTTGCTTTAGAGATTTGTTCAAACTTCCAGTGTTTTGGGGTCTGTATCTCCATCAGAAATGGATAGAGAAGTTCATTCCAGACCTGAAAAAGAATCTATCTCCAAGTTTAACTTTGGGATTTATCCTGCAAAAATATACTGTACCACAGAAAATATACCACAAAATTAAATATGTTTTATTAAAATATGATGTCTGTATTAAGATGTTTTTGAGTGGCTGGGGCAACCTATTTGGATGGGCAGGGTACAAATATGATAATGATGATGATGATGATAATAATAATAATATCTCCATAAGTTAAGGCTTACTTCTGCCCATAGAAATGCTGGAGAAGTACATACTTGGTTTAGTCACAGTAGCTGTCTTGTTTTATAGGTCCGTTATCGTGAACGCATCACTATTCTTCGAGGGAATCATGAAAGCAGACAGATCACACAAGTATATGGCTTCTATGATGAATGTTTAAGGAAATATGGAAATGCAAATGTCTGGAAATACTTCACAGACCTTTTTGACTATCTTCCTCTAACTGCCTTGGTGGACGGACAGGTATGTTGAAAATACTGATGTGTTCCTAATATTAGCAGAGAAGGAAGGCGGAGTAGAAGATCTGTTACCTTTTTATCAGATTTTCTTCCTAGAGAAACTATCTGTAACTTTGAAAAACACTTGTAGCTATAGTATTTGGATCTAATTCATGTCCCAACAAATGAATTTATCTTTCAGATTTTCTGTCTACATGGAGGTCTTTCCCCATCTATAGATACACTGGATCACATCAGAGCACTTGATCGTCTGCAAGAAGTTCCACATGAGGTAACTATAATTTGTGTTACAATTTCTGTGCTGTGTTAGTGTGTGAAATCATACTAATGCCCAATTCCTCTTCTGCATTATAAGGGAGTCTGTTGTTAAAGTAAACCTTATTTTTCCACATGACCTCTAACTCCAAAAAGGTTTGCACTGCTTGTCCTGTTCCCTTATCCAAACAATAAAACTACAAACAGCACTTAAATGTTAGTTAAAAGGTGGAAATTTGTTTGCTAATTACAAATGACACCTCTCCAAGTAGCTTGTTCTTCAACTTAAGAGAAGGCAAACTAGGGGTCCACATAACTTTTAAAAGCTGGGTGGACCATCTTTTGCACCGAATAATATCTGCATCACCAATTCTGTCTTCAGATGCTGCAGAGTATAATCTTGTTTTTGCCTAGCACTGATGTCAGTTTGGGAACATAGTGTTGAGCATGCTTCTTTCCCCCACAGAGCTTAGTGCTGGTGGTTTGGGGAACAAATAAATTGGTTCAAAGTACCATGTTAACGTAGTCATTCAGCTACTGTTCAAACATTTTTTCTTAAAAATTTGGTACTGTATTAGCCCTCTCCAGGTTTTTTTTTGGGCTATGTAATGATGCTGAAATGTTTCCTAGGGTCCAATGTGTGATTTGCTGTGGTCAGACCCAGATGATCGTGGCGGTTGGGGCATTTCTCCTCGAGGTGCTGGTTATACTTTTGGACAAGATATTTCAGAAACCTTCAACCATGCTAATGGCCTTACACTGGTCTCAAGAGCTCATCAGTTGGTAATGGAGGTAAGCCCCAGACTTTTTATGTTGTTTCCTTTCTTGAGGTGAAAATCTCCCTGCATAACCAGATAGCTTTGGCATACAAATAAAGGCATGTTAAGCCTGTGGTGGCAAAGTAACTTGTATATCTCATCCTTTTGTTAAAAAATGAGCTTGCGGGATAGACTTGAAGGCATAATTATTGCCATGAAAATGGCTTGTGATTCTGTTATTCCACTGTAAGTGACTCCTATCACCTAGACCTGTATTTTACTGTGTCATTCCATGACAAATTACTGTAGTACAAATATTTAATCTCTGACACTAGGATTTTATATACTAAATATTTTTCAGGAGGCGGTGTGGGGTAAGAAGTTCTGCCATCTACTGACTGACCTCTTTTATTTCTTCATATTCAACCCTAAGGGCTTTCTATCTCTACAGATGGACAGCTAAGGCTGACATTGATCAATTTCATTAGGAAGAAGCCGTTGTTGATTGGTATTGCTGGTTTATTATATGTAGAAGCTTCCAGTTTTAATTCCTGTTAACTCTAGTTAAAAAGGTATTTGATAGAATGATTGGGAAGGCCTGAGATCCTGGAGAGCAGCTTCTTTAAAGCAGATAACAATGGGTTAGATCAGTTTATATGATTTATATAGGAAGTTCCTATGTTGTCAGTTCTTACATGAATGGCTAAAAGTGGTAATTTAGAGTAATAAATTGTTTATCTTACTCTGATGCTCTGTCCACTATAGGTTACTACCCTCCCCGTAGAGAGACATGTTACAATTATGTGCATCTGTGTGCTTTTTCCTCCCTCCTCAGGGTTACAATTGGTGTCATGATCGGAATGTAGTAACCATTTTCAGTGCTCCAAATTATTGCTACCGGTGTGGTAACCAAGCTGCAATCATGGAACTTGATGATACTCTAAAATATTCATTGTAAGTCCTTAAAGATTTTCCTATGAGAACTAACAAAACATGTCATTTATAATTCTAGTTAGAATGCTGTTCATAAATTGCCTTATCTGGCTGTTTGAAGATGAGTAAAGTTGACAAATCTTACCTGATTGTATACTTGGAAAAATGTGGATGTTGTGGAATACTGGAATACTGTGTGTGGACTTAGAATTTGCTTTACTATATAACTGTAACTGCTAATTTGTAGTAATAATTTATAATAATAATAATAATAATAATAATAATAATACATTATTTATACCCCGCCCATCTGGCTGGGTTTCCCCAGCCACTCTGGGTGACTCCTAGCAGATTAAAAACAGAATAAAACATCAGATATTAAAAACTTCCCTAAACAGGCTTCTGATAGAGTATAAAACTAACCTTATGGGTAACAAATTGTAATACTGGGCACCTGATGCTGCTGCTGCTGCTTATATTTTTTTTTATTATTAAATTATTACTACTTGCTCTTCACCCTAAAGTCCCAATGATTCAGGAAGTTGCTTTGGGAGTTTAGTAATAGCCTCGCTTGGTTGTCAGTTTTGGGGGAAGTAAAGCTGAATTCCTCTATTTAAAATGGTATTTGAAGAGATGTTTGCTTTTGTTCTTTGCAACAGTATGCATTCTCTAATTTATCCTTAAGATGCAGCAAGACTTTCTTTTGAGCAAAGGATCTATATGCTTATCACTGTCACCTTCCTTAGCCCATAAGACAGTAGGGTGGGCTGCATACATTTCTAATTGAACTCCTAGATGAATGGCAGGCTCTTCCTCTATAATTTCATCTTTCTGCAGTCTATATCAAGGTTTAGCTCTGGAAATTGCAATGCTTCTGAAGTTTGTCTATTAAATTTATATCTTGCTGTTCCTCCCAAAGGAGCACAGTTAAATATTCAAGTGCTATGTCAGTTTTACACAGATCCTCCATTTGGAGGAAGAGCTTGGTAGAATATAACTACAAGTTAATACTGACGGATATTACATGCATTCTAGAGATGGCTGATGTCTTCTACATCTAGAAGTGTAAAGAAAAAACAGCCACAATCTTGATTGCAGAATGAATTGGAATAATGTAGAGAATTTAAAAGCTATGGCTGATATCTAATGTTATCCCTGAGTAGTCAAACAGAATTCTGTGGATGATTTCAGTGGGTCTGCTGTGTTTTAGCTGGATATCACAAACCACATAAATACTGATGAAAAGTATTGGGTTTTTTTCAGTTTGCAGTTTGATCCAGCGCCACGCAGAGGTGAACCACATGTTACTCGTCGCACCCCAGACTACTTCCTGTAACGAGATTTTACACTTGTACAGTATTGCCATGAACCATGTGTTGACCTAAAGGATATGGGAAGAGCAACAGTAACTCCAAAATGTCAGAAAACATTTAACATTGAAACCTGTTTTCACATGGACCAAAAGATGTGCCATATTGAAATACAAAGCCTCTTGTCTGTCAGCGACTGTGACCACTTTAGAATGAACCAGTTCATTGCATGCTGAAGCAACACTGTTGGTCAAGAAACCAGTTTCTGGCATAGCTCTACTTGTAGTTACTTTTGCTTTCTCTGGGAGACTGCAAATATTAAGATGTAGACATTTAACACCCTGTGAAAACAATTAACTTTCCATTTAGCTATAGCTTTCCAGCATGACTGTAGATAAGGATAGCAAACTATCATTGAAGCTTAATGAACATTTTAAATAAGTACCAAGACCGATTTTCTTATTTGTGTTCTGATTTTTTTTCCAGGGAAAACTGTTTAATTTAATTGTATGGTTGTTTTGTCTGCACTTGGTTCCCCCACATTCTTCCCTCACACTTCCCTCTATATAATGTCCTATGTACTTGTCCATCATAGTGAGTTATTTTGAACAGAACAGGTTTTTTTCTGTAAGATGTTGCTGCAGAAGAGTGTTGCAGCATTTTTTCATAATAAACTTGTGAACTAATAATGGAAGATAGTTGACTTTTAAATATATTGGAGGTTCATACCATGTTGTGTTTAATAAAAAGTAGCTTTTATGTCTCTTTGAACCTATGCAGAATCCAGATTATGCTGAATGAAGTCAGGAGCAATGTACTGGGAGTCGATGTTCAGATCATAAATTCACTTAAATTTTCTCAGAGAGCAAGTGCATGTTAAAAGAGGTCCTACATTTTGATAGCAATATGGCTTTGAGTTGTTATTCACCTATTAGCATTTTTTCACTTTATTTATTAAATTACGTTTATAAAATTGTCATTTTAACAGAAAGACTGTCTAATATTTCATTCTAGCCCTTTCAGTTGAAAGAAACTTCTAGGATTACTAACTTGCATTTAAGCCTTGTTTTGAACAGGCTGTAGATGATGTCCAACGAAGTCATATTTGGAGTATAACCATTGAAATAAGTAGACTTAAATTCACTGATTTCAATGAGTCTGCTCTATGACTAGTATTGGATATCACACTACAGTCTTAAATGACCATAATATATTCTCAGTACTGATCTTGTTGAAATCTACTTTGTAAGCAAAAGAATAGCAGTAGCCTTGACTATGCCTACTGTTATGCAGTCAGTAAGAGGAAAGAGAGAAATTGAAACTTGTAAAATGAAGGCCAGGGTATCATTCAGTATAGCCCTCAGTCACTTTTGTCTCTATGTAGCTGCACTTCATGCACTGTAGTAATTCTCATTTCTTTGAGGTTGGAGGTGAGGAACAAGTTCATAATATTAAGGACTGAATACTGCATTATGTCAGTGGATTAAATTTACTTCCTGATCTTACCATAGTCCAAGCACTTGAGCAATTTGGGTTCCATACAGCACATGGGTTTCAAAGGGGAAAATGTTTCCATTCTTTACTAAGATGGAAGTTTAATTCTTGCTAAAACATTAGTATTGCACATTAGTTGTGAGTAACGGTGAAACTTCCTGAGACTATCCTAGTATAACATGGGGAGAGCAGCAACTCCAGTACAGTGGTACCTTGGTTCTTGAATTGCTTGGCTCCCAGACAAATTGGAACCTGAATGCCACAAACCCGGAAGTAAGCCTTCCGGTTTTTTGGAACCCAAACATCCAATGTGGTTTCTGCTTGACTGCAGGAAGCTCCTGCAGCCAATCAGAAGCCGGGCCTTGATTTTCTGACGGTTTCGGGAGTCAAACGGACTCCCGGAACGGATTAAGTTTGAGAACCAATGTACCAATGTATTCCATTTGAAGCACATCTAACTGGCTTCTCCCACTGAAACTGCCCACAGTGATTTTGCAGTCCTGTGTTCTGAACAAAATGGTTGGGCAAGCTGTCAGCTGAAGGTCCTGTGTGTGGCGATTATGGGGTCAAGGCCTCATGTGAATCACACAAACAAGAGTCTGTTTGTTACTTTGTTCCTATGCTGTATTTATCACGTCTTGAGTTTCCAGGTGGTGGTGGTTGTTGTAATTTATTAAGTTTCTATACCTTATTCTGAGGATCGCAGTGCATTTACAATATAAAAACACAGGTTTTTTTAAAATCACAAAAATAAATAATATACTAACAAAAACAATACCCCCACAGTATTATTAGAAATGCAGCTCAGATTCTCACGATTATATCAAGCAACAGCTGCATTGTTGCTCCCACCTCTTTTTTTTGGTGCAGATGGGAAGGAGGCTATTTGTAAAAAAACAAAACTACTGTAATTGCATGGTTAAGGAACAGAAGTTCACAAAACAGCTGCAAAATATCAGTCCTGCAGGCTTATTATAAAAACTTTTGGCTTGGTATTTAATAGCAACATACTTGGTTTATAATAATAAATCTCGGCATACTTGGATTGCTATAGAAGAGTATGAATTGTGGCTTCAGTACGCAAGAAAATATCTTGTATATATTAAAAGGTAACCAATTTGATGTTAATTTTGCTGTAAAGTACTGAGCTGAGTTATCCAAAAGCAGCTCTTCATTTTCTTAATTCCAAGGAGTGGGATTTCCTTGGAAAAACAGCCCTTACTATTGTTAATTGCTTGCTTCAGCTAAAGCTGCTATAAGGTTTGAACACAAAGGGGACTCAACAAGTTTTCAGGTATATTTTTATTACAGTCATCTTAGACAGGAGGACTGTGTGTATGGAATGTACTGCTGATCACAAAGAAGAAAGTTAGAAACAAGCAAAAATGTCTATGTGATAATCAGTTATGTGTGTATAAACTCAATGAATATCCTGTATATGAACAGCAAATTCATTCTCTTGTGGATCCTTATATAGACAAAATGATACCATGCAAGAGAGGAATTGGCAGCCTTGAGGGAACACCAAGGTTTCAGAAGTGCAACCTGCCCCCCCCCAAAAAAAACACACACACACCTGAAACAGCACACTGAAGACCGTTTTCCCTGTGGCCATGGAATACTGACTGATGGTAGTGGGGAACAGAATGGAATCTCTTGGAAGAGGCCATAGCTGGCTAGCTAGAAGCCTGAACAGGAGCATACCACATTGAAGTGTTTTGTTGCATTTTCCCCTTGTATGCCTTGAAAATGAGACTTGGGGTAAGGTTGAGGCTTGCCAAGGTAGTAGACATGTATACTACTACTAGGAATAATAATTTTTTATTTATTCCCTGCCCAGTGTGCTGTTAAAAGTAACTATCAAGAATTAAATCCAATCCCCAGTGGTCAGTTTGCCCACTACTGTACTTTCATTTTGGACTAACAATTTACATAATTTTGAGAACAGCAGAGGCTTATTAATTTTAAATGTCCATACATGGATCTGTGTTTTTAATTCACCCTTAGCAGAGTTAAAATGTCCTTGTAGAAATCCCTATTTTTACTCAGAAGACAAGCTTCAGGAGGCAATACTGCTTGTTCAGGACGTAATATTTACAGATGGGAGTGGCATGTGGAAATATTTTTTTCCTGGAAGTCCTCAAATTAATAGAGCTTGTTCTCTGTGATTTTACTTTGGATTGCACAGCTGAATGTTTCATGCTGGAAACTGGCCCTTCCCTCGCAACTCCATAGATGCTCTACTATATCGTAAACAGCATCCTGCCTGCACGGTAGTGGAGATACCTATAGGATGCCAGGAAACGGGACCTGAACAAGGAAGTGCTCTCCCTTGCAGTCGTTTCCAGCAGCTGGTATTCAGAAGCATACAGGCTTTAACTGGAGGCAGAACATAGCCTGATCCAGAACATAATGCCAAGCCATGATAGCTGTTATGAAGGCTTTCTCTTTCAAATAAAAGTGAGCAGTCAACCATACTTTGTAGGTTGGCCCAAAAGGAAATGGGATCACTCTTACGCACAAATATGCCTTCGTCGTATACTATGCAACTAAATTTAGGGCGACTTGGCTTTTAAGTAAAACACAGCGCTGCGAGTCGGATAATAGACTTCTTTACTTAGAAGCCCTGTTGAGTTTATTGGGATTGCAGATTTTCAGTATAACCCTGTTTACTCAGAAGTATATCTTTCGGAGACATTGTTGCCGGGTTCAAACTCCCCATCAACCCGACCCTAACCATTGGCCATGCCGGCTGGGACTGACGAGGGTTTGAGTTCAAAAGACACTTTGTGTGCTCGAGGCGTTGTTCTACTTCTTTCTCACGCGTTCTCGGGACAATGTACGCGAGCGTGTGGCTCCGGCATAGCGTCTGAACTTAAAAACACCCAAGGTTGGGTCGGTGAATTTGCTGCCGGAGCATCCAGGGCAAGACGTCCGACGGATCCGAGAACGCAATGCAGGGGAATAAGAATGATGAAGTCGAAAACGCTCGAGTAAGGGAGCTGGCGGAGCTCATTCACCTCAGAACACACCAGCCGGCGGGCAAGTAGCAAGCGCGCGCAAGACGCAGTAATGTGCGCCCTAGACGTCCTTCCGCTGACTACGCGCGCCGCCGCCGCCATTGTGAGGCGGCCGTTGCCATGAGATTGTTCCCGACGAAGGCAGCTTCAGCTTTTGCCTGAAGGACCCCCAGAGGCAGTAAACGACGTGTAGGTTAACCATCTCCTCCCCCTCTTACATAGGAGTGGTAGTTTGTGCTCTGCTCTTTCTGCCTCTCTCGCTCTCCCAGTTGGAAGAGGAGACAAGCAGGCCTTGAGGGGGAAGAGCGACATAATATATATAGAGAGAAAGAGCGCTCCCTTTGTGTTGGCCGGTCTGCTTTAGTTCAGGCGCTGCAGTAGACAGCCCCGTGCTCTGCGAGGGTGGGGGGCGGGCGGAGGCAGCTCCGAGGGGCCCTCGCTTCAATTCGGCCCCGCCCCGCCTTATCCTTATAAGACGCGACGGCCGCGAGCCGCCTTTAGTAGTCTCGCTGGTTTCAGTCGGGTGGCGTCGCAGAGGGAGGGGCCGAGAGCCGCTGCTGTTGCTGCCTCACGGTGAGTAAGGGCTAGGCCTGGCCTGCGTCTAGGCCTCGCTCCTTAGTTTGGGGGCGCTGGGGAGTTGAGGCAGGAAGCCGCGGAAGGGAAAAAAGGGAGAGAAGTTAGCAGGCGGGATTGGAAGGCCGCAGCGGAGGGAAGGTGGTTGCTAAGGGAGCGGTCTCTTCCTCCTCCTCCTCCTCCTCCTCCTCCTCCTCCTTGCTAAGGGGTGTCTCCGCCACCTGCTCCTCCAGCAGCGGGATTGGAAAGTGCTGTGGAAGAAGAGAAGGTAACTCGTAAATTGCCTGGAGACAAGCACCCCCCCCGACACTTGTTTATGCGTCCCACATCTCTGAAGCCAATAAAACAGGCTCTTTTTATCTCTCTTTTTCGCCTCTTCTCTCTCCCCCCCCCCCATTTTTAATGTTCGTGCACAATAAAGCATTAACAAAATAAGGCGGTTTCGTGTGTTGTATTTCCGGAATAGTTCGTGTTGGGGCATGAACTATTCCCCCCACCCCATGTAGACTTGTATCCCCTCCGCTGTATGCGAGTACTCGAGAGAAGGGTGGAAATGGGATTTTTTTTTAAAAATTGTGCCTGTTGTGTATGTAGAACTCGCTCCACCGTTTTGCTTGGTTACCCTACCAACAGAAAACGGCGTTAAAAGCAATATTCTCTCTTACTCCTTTTTTAAATAAAAAGCCTTGAGATTGGGAGTTTAAAAATGATCAGTAACATAAATTGTGTTTCGGTAGACTGATCCGCTAGCTAGGATTAATCACTGTTTACAACCGTTTAGGTATAAAGCCCCCCCCCCCAATTGAATCTTCTGTTAAATGCAGGGTCAGACTGCTAGTCTGTAAAGAGAAGCTTGTAGAATTTTTGTTTGACAAAGTTATCCTGTGGAAAAGGCCAGGGGGAGCACTTAGTGTGATAGTCTGAGCTCTGAGGCATTGCTCTCCGCTACTTCTGACTGCGTACTTTGTAGCAGACGCATACTAAAATATCAGTATAAATTAGTTGTTTTCCAACCCGTTGTACACAAAGCCACAAAAATCAGTTTTTGCATAGTATCTCTATTGTAACTAAAATTATAGTTAAATAGCTGAAATGGAGAACTGGGAAGAATAACAAAGTTGAGAGAATAATATGCAGTGTCTTTGGTAACCTTGCATTTTGGTAGAAATCAAGGAAAACAACTATTCAAAAATAGTGTAATTATATATCATGTCTTCTGGCATAAAACCAAACACTTAATGACAAAATGCTTGTTTGCCCCAACAATTCTCCGCTACTCTGTATATTTTTTTTTATTGTGCAGTGTACAGTAGTCAGTTGCTAGTCAAGAGCCATACAAAATACTGTCATTCTTTAAAAAAAAGTTTCTAATAAACTAGAGCAGCTAAAAGGGCGCATTAGAAAATAGACTTGGTAGTAGTAGTCAAACCAAATTGATGATGCAGCTTCCTGTAACATGATTCACTGTGTATATATGCATACATTGATCTTGAAATTAAAACTTAGCTTGGCCTAGCCTAAAAAGTTGTTTGAAGGGTTATCTTTTAAATATATATTTTCTTCAGGCATACGTAGTGTTGCAAAAGTGTATATACTCTTGTTTTGCTGTCATTAAATTGCTTAGTGTGTTTGTATGTGACACATTTACTTTTAAAAGAAGCACAAGACCCTAATGTTCATATTTTGGAACTCAAAATCTGATGAAGGTATCTTAATATTCTGGTAATAAACTATGGAAGATAAGCAGCTGGAAAAGATTGTGTGCCATTTAATTTCAGTTTGTGATGCACTTGGCATGTACTCAAAGTTATGCAGTGGCTAAGTTGATTGCTGCCAAGATCAGCAGTACTGAGAAGGTACAGTAAACCTATAGAATGGGAGGTTAATGCTGCATGGAGCAGATTTTGGATCTGTGGACTATTAGCCTCCCTCAAGGAAAAAACGCATTGTGCACCAATGCAATTGTATGAGATGAAGGAAATCTTGTCTGCAGTTCTTTCCCCAGAGTCCAATTCTAAAACTGGATTTGCTTGCTATATCAATATCTATGAGTCAGCTTTCTGTGAGAGATTTTACAAGAAGTGGCTACTAAAGGGTGGTGAGGGTCTTTAAAAATGTGCTTACCTAGCTGGTAAACGCACAACTTACTGTACTTTGGGGATAGAGTTTATTTCCAGTAATTTGTCAACAAAATTCTGTTAATGATATTTCTGATGTTACATAGTAAAAATAATAGCCTGTGATTCTTGCAACTGGGTTTTTCCAGAAGTCAATTCGAAAGTCAGAAAGGTTAAAACATGGTGAATTTTTTTGAACGGGGTTACTTGGTATCTAGCAACTTTGCAGTTTTCACTTTGTTATAAAAATGAAAGCTTTCTCTTTCCACTGGGTGCTAAAAGCAAAAATGCATTAAGGAGTTGTTTGAAAGTGCAGCATCATATGTTGGAAACTTGCCTAGAACATAGTCTAGAGATAACAGAAGTAAGGACACTGGCTGAGATTCAAGTTTTGGTGAGGTACGCAAGCAGTTCTCCAAATTTGTGACTGAACATGTATTTTAAAAAATAAAAGTGGTGCACAAACAGGTCAGGTTCAATGAAAGCAATTTCATACTGTACTTTCTATCCAAATGTAACTTGAGATCCCGATTAAACGATACTTTCAATACTTGATTAAATCACCTACTTAGTGTTGCATATTCTGGCAACTGAGAAGACATTTTTTAAAAACCAAATGTTGAGCTACTGCAAGGGCAAAAGGTGAGCTGCAACCAGTTCAAATTTCTTTATAGCCGTTAATGTGTGTGGTGATCTTAGCAATCCATTACTTCTGGTCAGCTCCCATACAGAGACAAAATTTATTTCGCTTTCCGTGTAATCTTATTTTTCAGTAGAAGATGCACTGTATAACAAAACTGTCCTATAAACAAATTATTTTATTATTAAATTTGTATACCACCTCATTCAAAGATCTGCCCTTTGCAGCATAAAAATAATTTTGTAGCTTTTTTATTATTTAAAATGTAGCTAACATTAACTATATTTTCCCACCATAGATGCCTTCAATTAAACTGCAGAGTTCTGATGGAGAAATATTTGAGGTTGACGTTGAAATTGCAAAGCAGTCTGTAACCATCAAGACAATGTTGGAAGGTAAGGGAAGTATGAAGATATGTAACTTGGAATAGTGGTCTGAAGATGGTTGCTGCATACCAGGAATAGATTAATTCTTAGCTTAACATGAAGTAACTATGGGAATCATACCTGGAAATCTTGAGATACATAAAGGTAAATCTATTTAGGCCATACAATATTTCAGCCACTGTGCATCGTGCACATGAGTGCAACTAACACTTAGTGCTACATAGAAAGTCCCTCGGGGGTTTCATGCTGGAGGTGGGTGTGACCAATATGAATTCATACAGCACCTCCCTATGCACACAGACTTTCACTGCATATAACGGCCCCCACACAGAGCACATTCACTTACCACACATGCAGGTGCACAGCTCCCTTCTCTCTCACACTCTTCACTCACTCCTTTTGTCTTCCTGAAGATAATAGACAGTTTCCTCATTTCCTTGCTATTATACAGATGATAGGAAATTCCGTCTCTTGATTTCTGTGGTGGGTCACTGAAGAGTAAAAGTGTAATGGCTTTAAAGTCTGAGCAGTTTCTTGTACGTTTTTGAAGTAAAACAGCTGTTCGCAGGCACTACCACATTAGTCATGGTTACCATGGCATGGCAGTCACTTGCCTTCCACCTTCAGGGCACTCGAAGCAAATGTGGCCATTTGGTTGGATTCTTCAACTTCTAAACAGAGCTTTTGAATGCAGACTTCTGTTTATGCATTGGTTCAAAAGCTGTTATGAAGATGGGTGACGTATGTTTCAGCTAAATTCTTAAAGGGATTCCCACATGCAGTAAAATATGAAATTAAACCTTACTAATCGTTCAGAGGCAATCTTCTATGTCAAATTAGATTGATTAAACTAGGGAGCAGATCTTCAAAGGAATGGAAAAACAGTCATAGGAATATGAGACATTAAAACTGGATGCCACATATCTGATAGAGCTTGAGGAGGATCATGTTTTTAGCCAGGACTGGAACTGTATATGTACTCAGGAGTGTATCATGGAGGTATTTCAAAGCTCAGCATGGCAGATTTTTCAACACTTACTAACAAAGCTTTTGTTTAGGACGTAGTGGATGTTCACCGTGTCTGTTCCTGTTATAGCTGAGCCTTTGTAAAGTGATAGTATATATTTGAGTGGATAGCTGGAATTGTGAGCTGGAAGCAATTAAATTTTGCAGGATGAAAGCTTAATTCTGACTGCCAGCAAATTAAAAGGGAGCCATGGAACTTAACCATATGGCCTTTATGTAAAGTGAATGTTTATAATCCTTAGAAACAGGGATCCAACAGTCTTATGGACTGTTTCCCAATATTTTCTTGTAGCTCTGTTTCTATTTCTGAGTTTTTGGTATTTTTCATATAGAATTTGTATTTTTATATTTCCCCATTACTGCTAGGTATGTTAGCCCATACAAAGGTACACATCAGAATATGCTAGTAAGACCTTATGAGCGTCTTGCTATTTCAACATAGTTTTCAAGAGATGCATTCTACTTATCTGGTGTTGTGTTTTTTTTGTGACTCATAAGGGGGAAAGAGCTGGTGTTGCCCAGATAATCTTGGTAATAGGGTAACTAAAAAACATAGGAAATGTGTTAAAAAATTTCTAAAGTATTCTTGAAAGCCCCTGACCCCTGAGTTGGCACTGCTGTACCAACATTAATGCCTTGTTATTTTTGCTGCTATTTTAGGGCAGTACACAGTTGCTGTAAAACAGATAAATCCATCAAGTAATGGCGCAGCTTAACGTCTGTCTTTTAATAATCAGTGGTTCACATTGATCTATTACTTCTTAAGCTCTTAATCTAACCAAATGCTTATGACCTGCTATCTGAAGTTACCACAAAATTGAACATGTGGGCTCCCCCCCCAAGATCATGCTCATGTGATTATCTTCTAGATTTTAGATTGCATTAATCATGATTGGGACATTGTGTCAGCCATTGCTCCATATGCTTAAAAATGTTTGGTTTGACTCAATAGAGCATAAAGTTGCTGCATGTGTATCCATGTTGATGTGAGTTTTGAGATGTGTTTAGATAATTACAAGCATCTTGCCAAACTTTTAAAAATGATTTTATTTACTTCATAGCAGTCAGTTCTCTGTTAAGTTCTAATATGGCAATTATGCATTGATAAAAGTACTTCACAAACTAAACAGCAGCTCCGATTTTACCAAAGGGCATGCCATATTTCCTGAAGTTGAAACTGTTAATGGGGGAGGGGCCATACTCTGAATGAAGTACAGTATTGGGTTCATTGGTGTAGATAAGCGCTTTAAGAGGTACTTCTCTATTGGCTACTATGCACAAATGGAAAGAGCAACAGAAGGCTGAGGTTCTTCTTTTGTGCCCAGCTCATTTTATGCTATGAAAGGGGAGTGAACATTGAGGAAGGGCTTAAAGGGCTATTTGTACGTGTGCTGATTTGCCTGGGGAAAATCAATCTGTTTTTGTGGTTGGAGTGCTTAGGTTCAGGGACTTAGGTTGTGAATCAGAAACTAGACCAAATGGAATCCTTGGGGCTCCTTAGTTTATGCAGTATGTTATCCTTGTGGTGGTGAATCTTCACACAGTCCATGTGTGCTAGTAGCTGGGGAAGGAGAGGCAGATCAGGACAGAGGAACATACTTTTTTTTACAGTCTGATGATATACATTCTTGTAAGTAAGTTCCATGGAGTCCTTCCATGTGGATTTACTTCTGTGTGGTGGGTACAGGTTGATGCATTTATTGGTATTATACACACACATTGACTCTTTCTGCTTGGGAGTCGAAGAAGCAGAAGTTCATGTTCACCAGTTGGTCTGTTAGCGTCAACTGCTAAGGACCTTCGCAAAGACACTGTTACTTGCTAAGGTAGCAGCGTCTGTCAACATGGCTGCTGCAGCAGCAATAGACAAAATGGCTTATTGGCTGAGGACTGTGAATTCCATGAGTGAGGAAGTAGAGTAGAAGACAAGGTTCTTCCTTTCCCTACCAGACAAAACACAAGATAGTGGCAAAGGCAAACAACTTAAGACTGCAGTTCTGTGCACATTGAACTAGAATGCTTGTTTCATATATGCATATGATCAGACTATGGGGAATTTACCAGCCAAAATATCGGCTGCAGGCCTTTCAAATTACTAGTCAAGTAAGTCAGCACTTCCATCAGTTGCCTAGAGAGAGAGAGTGAATATTAATTTCTTGGAAATCTTCAGGAAAAGATTAGATGGCCTGACCATCTGTTTTAATACTTCAGCTAGGAATATGTCCTCCCTTGAGCAGGAGTTAGGCAATATGGCTAGCATTACTTCTAACAAAATCAGTCTTGAATACAAATAGAATCAATTTATTAATAATTTGCATTGTGTAGCCTGTGCATTTTGCATAAGCTACATGTTGGAAAAGAGTATATTTTAGTAAAGAACAGGATCTGAATGTACCTATATTGCAGTAGAAGGTGCCTTTTAAGAAATGTAGGGGTTCTGGCTATGTAAATTACTTGGTTTTTTTTCCTATTCTCAGATTTGGGAATGGATGATGAAGGGGATGATGATCCTGTCCCTCTTCCAAACGTTAATGCAGCTATATTAAAAAAGGTAATGTTGAACATGATTTTTGTTTTGGTAACATGAGCTTTCAGACTCAACCTTGTTGTATGCAGTATAGCCATCTTTTCTGAAAATGGTTCTTCTATTCTGAGAAGTATATCCAGTGCTGGGAAAATTAAGTTATATTTTTATTTGGGATAATATAATACTACATTCAGATAGTGCATCCATTTTTATTGCAGTAGTTTTATGGAGCATACACACAACCTTTTAGTTGCTATATGTGACTTAACTGTTCATCTTACATTTCTGTGTCATTCTAAGCAGCCTTACTTGTTGCCATCTTCCCTATACATGATAGAGTCTGTATTTGCAGCATTTATAAGTTCTGTGTGAGCAACCTCATATAGTTCCAGTTGCATGGAGGGAGGAAGAAGGGCCATTCTTGCTGATCCCACCCCCTCTGTTACTTGTCTTTTACTCAGTTCTACCACATACCACATTTTGGAGGGCAAAGCCTGAAGCAGGAAGCCTCTGTTTCTGCTGGGTAGAGTTTCCTGTGCAGTTTTGAATATTAGAGCTCTGCTGGATCAGGCCAGTGGCCTGCATAGTTCAACATCTGGTTCTCAACAGTAGCCAGCCAGATGCCCATGGGAGGTCTACAGACAGGACCCAAGTACAACAGTGCTCCTTTGTGATTCCATGCAAATTTTATTCAGAGGCATACTATCTCTGACAGTAGAGGTAGAAAATAGCCATTGTGGCCTTATCATACATTTAAATTGTCAAATCCTGTTTTAAAAGCCTTTTAAATTGCTAGCTATCACTTCATCTTGTGAAGGTGAATTGTGTAGCTTAACTGTGTGCTGTGTAAAGAAATATAGTGGTACCTTGGTTTTCGAACTTAATCCTTTCCGGATGTCCGTTCTTAAACCAAAGCGTTCTTAAACCAAGGTGTGCTTTCCCATAGCAGTGGGGGGGACTCAATTTACAAATGGAACACAGTCAACAGAAAGCGAAACATGTTCTGCTTCCAAGGCAAATTTCACAAACCAAAACACCTACTTCTGGATTTGCAGTGTTCTTAATCCAAGTTGTTCATAAACTAAGCTGTTCTTAAACCAAGGTACCACTGTACTTTATTTTGTCTGGTCCGGATCGTCAAGCATACAGCTTCACTGAATCGCCCCTATTACTAGTAATATGAGAGAGAAAAGCTTCTCCCTGCCCACTTTCTCCATACCATGTCTGTCATGTCTCCCCTCCCTTTACCTAACCTTTTCTCTAAACTAAAAAGCCGCACAAGTTCCAACCTTTCCTCATAGGTGAGTTAATTCAGCCCCTTGATAATTTTGTTTGCCTTTTTTTGAACCATTTCCAGCTCAAGAGTACCTTTTTTTTGAGGTGAGGTGACTAGAACTGTACACAATGTTCCAAATGAGGTTGCATCATAGATTTGTATAACAGCATTATGATATTGACTCTTTAAGCATGTATAAATGTTTTAGGATTTAACTGGTTTCAGATAAGGCAGCATTTGTGAGCAAGACTTCAAATTTTCATTCTGTTTGACTTATTTGTTGCCTCTTCCCACTTAATCTTTACAGTAGTTCTGTCAGTTTGAAAGTACGTAATTGGCATCACAAGATTGAAATGTGAGAAATCAGTTCAGTATTAAGTGTGTGAAATATTGTTTACAGCATTTGCAGACTGTGTTTTGAGATTATGCTACTTTCAGTTCTTCCCCCCCGAAAGGTTTGCATTGAGATAATTATGAGCAGCTGGTGGTATGCTTAAAAATGTCAGGATGTTTAGTTTAAATTAGTAAAACTTCCAGAAAAGATGAATGTTTTAACAGTTCTGTGTTCTTGTATTAAGTAGTGGCTGTGCAAAAAGATTTCTGAACACTGATAAAACTAATTTGCTTGAAGTTTTAAGAACAAATGTTTATTTTAGACTAAATAAACAAATATGAAGATCTTTCATAAGCTACTTTACTCTAATTCCTTAAGGTAATCCAGTGGTGCACCCACCATAAAGATGACCCACCTCCCCCTGAGGATGATGAAAACAAAGAGAAACGAACAGATGACATCCCTGTGTGGGACCAAGAATTTCTTAAAGTAGACCAAGGAACTCTCTTTGAACTTATCCTGGTAGGTTGGTTTTGTATATTCAGGTGGTGCCAGGTGTTGTTGTAATGAACTTTGTAGATCAATGGAATATTACAAGGTATTATAGAAATTTCTAATACATTTTGTTTTGGAGAAGTGAGAGCCACCACGTGTTTGCTGGGTCCTTGGGTCCTGGTCCTTCCTGGCTTATAAGAGTAGCCAGGTGGGAGGAATTGCTGTGTGGGTAAGGGAAAGGTGAACAACTCTTCAGCAAGATGAGGTTTCAACCTGCCTAAGTGGTAAGACCTTTGCTGAAAAAGCCCTCCCGGAGTCCTACTATTCTGGATAATTATTAGCCGGTCTCCAATATTCCATTCTTGGACAAGGTGCTGAAGCATCTGGTGACTTCTCAGCCTCATGAGTTCTTGGATGAGATGGATTGTCTAGATCCATTTCAGTCTGGATTCAGGCCTGGTTATGGGAAAGAAATGGCTTTGGGTCCCTTGGTGGATGACCTATGCTGGAAGCTGGACAGGGAGAGTGTGCTGGACCTCTCAGTGGCTTTTGATACCATTGACCATGGTATCCTACTATTATGAGACTTGGAGGAACTGTTTTAGGGTAGCTGTGGTCTATCTTGGAGGCCAAGCCCAGATGGTGGTGCTGGGTAACTCCTGTCCAATATTTTGATTGATGGCTTGTTGCTTCCATTCTGGAAATGTCTGATCTGGCCACTGTGATCCATAGCTTAGTTACATCCCATTTATATCAAGCTTTCTGTGGGTGTGCCGTTGCATAGTTTTTGGAAACTTCTGCAGTTCAGAATGCTGACCAGAGCTGGTTACAGGAGGAACAGAAATTCCTTATGTCAACAGCTCCACTGACTACTGGTTTGTTTCTGGGCACATTTCAAAGTGCTCATTATGACCTATAAAGCCCAATAAAGTTTGTGTCCAGGCTATCTGAAGGACCGTCTCCCTCTATTAGCCTGCCTGGGTTTGATCTTCAGGGGGAACCTTTATTTTGATCCTGCATACATAATAAAGACGCATTTCAGCAAGTGAACATTACTTCAAGCATACATGTAAACTAGAAGCTTGCAACTAAAGGACACTGCCAAATGTTTGCTGCTGAATGCATAAATGAAATGAAGTGGCATCTATGACAATACTTGTATGAGTAGGATTCTTTGTTTTCTTGCTCCTAGGGCCTTTCAAAGCAAACTAGCTGACTGCTACGGCATAAACGTTTAGATTTGGTGTATTATAGATGCATGCCCCATAACTGACTGACCATGTGTTCTGAAAATGCTTAATTCAGAGGCGGGGAACTTGAGACCCTTCAGATGATGTTGGACTATGCCTCCCACATTTCCAGGCCAATGTGGTCAGTAGTCTAGTGTGACTGAAGTTATGAATGGGACAGCCTGATGGGACGGTGTGTCTCTGGTCTAGAAAACGATGCACTGACTGCCAGTGAGCTACCAAGCCCAATTCAAGGTGACAGGCTGGTTTAGAAGGTCCTAATCTGATTGGGACTCAAGTACCTAAAAATGCATCTCCCCAGATGTTTATCTTGAACCTTATGATTGACATGTTGATGCTGCTAGATGAGCACTGACCTGGGGCGGCCTTCTTGGTAACTTCTCCGATGCCCTCCTTGGCGAATTGTTTCTTCCTCATTATTAATATTAAAGAGGAATTTAAAAACATCTACGCTCACCTGGGCATTTGATAGCTGAAAGACAATTTGCGGCAACCTTGAAATTAATAGCTGTGATATGTGACTGTTCTTAAGATGTTTGATATATTTTTAATTTCTTAAAATTGTATCATTTTGCTGTTTTATTATTTGCCACCCTAGGCTCCTTGAGTGGAAGGGCAAGATAGAGATTTAAATGATAACAGTTCAGCACCTGGGGTCCCCCGCCTGGCTTAATTGATGGTCCTTGTAAATGCTAAACAAAAAAGTATCAATAAAGTTATCTCGATTAAACAAAAAACCAGACATCTTACTATAAAATCATGCAGATAAGTAAATTACAATGAAATAGGAAATGTCTTTGTTATTGGCTGTTGCTTTATATAAATAAAAACTTGACAGTATAGTATATTTTGGTGGTATTGCATTGAGCACAAGACATTAAATTGGTCTTTTTTCCCTAAAGGCTGCAAACTACTTAGACATCAAAGGCTTACTTGATGTGACATGCAAGACAGTTGCAAATATGATTAAGGGAAAAACACCAGAAGAAATCCGCAAGACCTTCAATATCAAGAATGACTTCACTGAAGAAGAAGAAGCCCAGGTATGCGTTAGTTTCTACCTTGGATTTAGTTGCTCTGCATAAAACAGGATCTGTACTACTCATTTTTTCTTAGTCCTTTGAAGATACTTGATCTCATCGGTTGAGCAACAAATCACTGGTGCTGGTCTCTGTGTGACATTCTATCCCAATTATTGTAGTCTCACTTAGGATTCTGGGTCTTTCTCATAATGATCCTCACAAAGATAAAGTACTTGCTCAAAGCTTGTTATGTGAAGCTAAGATGTGCCATATGAGAGACATGCCATTCATGTAAGTTTTCCTTCACACTTTTGTATGGTGCTCCTCCTGCCCACATGCCTGATAAGCCTGTATGGAAATAGCCTCAATAGAAAATACAGACCATTCCCTTGGTTTCAGGCATGAGTACCATTTCCTTTGCTTTGCACACTTTCAGAAACCTTAAGTACTATGAATGTAATAAAGGCTGTCTTGATTTTTAGGTACGCAAAGAAAACCAGTGGTGTGAAGAAAAGTGAAGTCTTGTGCCTGACAACTGACACTGTAAGGATCGTTCCAAATACCAGTTGCACTGCTCTGTTTATAACTGTTAATATTAGACAAATGCAGCAGCAAATGAAGTTGTTCTTGTAGGGTGGTGTTCTCTTTGCATGTGTAATATTTGAATATAGATTTAAATCCTTTTGGCTGAGTTTCTACCAGTGTAATCCAATGTCCCCATACTTTTCCTCTGATACCAATAAAACTAAACTAAGTGTGGACTCCGTATGGCAATTCGCACCGCAAGCTAGCCTTTCCATGCTTTTAAATGTGTCACTGTATCATTTAAAATATATAGGATGTCAGAAATTCAGCAACCTCTGGCACTGTAAATAAAATCAATTGCAAACGTTTTCTGAAACAGAATTAATGAAGCCTGTTTTCATTCACATCCTAATGGCTTCTTAGAACAATGGGAAGTCTTGAAAAACCAGTTGCAGTAATTGTTTCTTCAATTCTCCACCTTTATTTGTTGGGGACAAGTGACAACTGCCACAAACCATGTTGGTTTTGTTAGCTAAGGGTCAGTGCTAGAGGTGTGATGTAGAATTGATTCAGGCAGTTAGAGGTAGACAGTTAAACCCATTTTTGGCCAGATAACAAAGATCATGCTTCTTTCTGGAAATCAGTTTAGTTGCCTAGTCCCCCGAACCAGCAGATTAAATCCCACTGTGTGATCAAAAGAGATTACCAAAGCTAAAATTCCATGGATAGTACAAGTTGGTGCTTGCTATGTTAGGCAAGCTGCAGTATTTTCCTGTAGTTTTTTTAAAAATCTTATTGTTCTGTGAAAGTCTTAGTCTGCAGTGTTGTACATGAAGTCAGATTGCAGTGACTTGTCACTGTGCATACGCAGTATGATACTGATGATGTGCCATTTGATGGTTGTTTAGGAAAAAACCACTTGCAAGTAAGACTGTTTCTTTTTTTCCAGTTCCTACAGTTCCCCTGTAGGAATTAGGATGTTCGTATGTACTAAGCATTGAGGCATCCCCTTGGCTTGTATTGCATTCCATTTTCTGTATACACACTAGAATAGAACAAAACCCTAATAAATATACTTCACTTCAAAGATCAGTGGTGACCTTTGAATGTTCTATACAGAATAAGATACCTGGAGTTAAATGAGGCAGTTAAAATTGAAACATGCATAGCAACCAATGTGCATATTGCTCCACAACTTCACAAGCTGTTAACATGAAATGATTGTATACTTGATAGTGCCAGCTGCCATCTTCAGAAGAAACAGTCGGAGGGGATGGGCGGAAGGGAAGGGGGCTGCAAAAGATGGGCTTCAGTTACCAGTACATGAGTGCTGAAATATTCTTCAAGTAGTCGTCTTCTTAAACCCAACCCCAGTGGTTTATCAGAACATCTCCATTTCTAGTCCTCTATGCCTATAACCCTGTGTCTTTTAAAGTAATCAAACTGCATATGCTTACTTTTCATTTTCCAGGATCAAGTCTCCAATTCCACTTGTTCAACCAATGAGTCCAGCACTGGATTGCATGAAAAAGTCCAATATTCTAACAGTTCTAATTACTGGGATCTACCTCAGGGTGGGGATGGTTGTCTTTTGTGGAAGTCTATGGGAAGGAAGGAACTCAAATGTTCCCATGACTCATGATGATGTTGCTCAACATGCATGGGTTTTGGAAAGAATCAGCAGTTCCAGGTTAAGGTTAACCCTGGGTCTTGTGAGCATGGCAAGGGGAAAACATTGTCAGACAGGGACTGGTGAAAGGGAAATACTTGACACTTCTCATTCGCCTAGACTTTCTGGCAAGGTCACTGCTCTTGTCGTCCAGATAGTTTTGGTGGAAGGGAGATCTTGAACCCAGAAGCGCAGGAATTGGGCAGTTATCATCAGAATTCCCAGTGAGGGTTTCAAACACACTTGTTGTCTTCTAGCAGGGGATATTGTCGAAAGTTCCAGCGCTTATACTCTCCCTTCAGAATTTGAGAGCAGAGGCCACAACTAATCCCCTATCCAGGTTGTGTCTCTTTGAAATTATCCTATAATACGCAATGCAGTGAGTACCTTCTATCCCTTCCCTGTTGTCTCATTAAAGAAGTGAGCCACTTCTCTGCATTGTTATTGGTAAACATTGGCAGGGAGGGGTAAAGAATTGACTAACCAGAGAGTCAAGAAGGTAAGATGATAGAAAACCTGCCTTTGACATGTTGGCAGCATCTCCCTTTAACCTCTAAAGGACTCTGTTGTGCAGAGAGTGGGATTAAGCCAGACATTTTCAGTGTTTCTAGTTCCAGTTAGTGTTGCCGCCTTCTTCTTGGTTGTGAAGAAATTTGATGCCAGTGTGGGTTAGAGAGCATCTAAAAGCCTGGCCATGCGAAGTACTTTCGGATGGTTATGGAGCAAACAATAAATTTGCTCCAGCAGGCTAAAGAATACCCTTTGTACTCTTGTGATATTTCAAGTAGAAAAATGTCTACTTGCTGTTGAATGAAGATGATCTATTTGGTATACTGCCTGCTGAAAACATTCTGCAAGGCTAGAAGGGCACAGTTCTGAATATGCCGGGTAGCCTGCATTTTGAGAAAGAGAAGTGTGAGGTGTTTATTTTCTAGCTTAACCTGAGAAGGTGAGTACTGTGAAATAGTCACATTAAAATAGTTGCAACTTTGGTCATAAGAGGTGTGCTTAACATTATTATTTTGTGGACTTTGGATTGTGGCTGTTAACACATATTGCTCTTAAAGATCATGCCTTAGCATGTTGTTGTTGTTTAGTCGTGTCTGACTCTTCGTGACCCCATGGACCAGAGCACGCCAGGCACTCCTGTCTTCCACTGCCTCCCGCAGTTTGGTTAGACTCATGCTGGTAGCTTCGAGAACACTGTCCAACCATCTCGTCTTAGCATACTGTGTTTTAAATTAAGTTCCAGGAGTTTAATTCAGCTAACTCATTGCATGGGTAGAACAATTTCCACTTGTGCAAAAGAACGTCTCTGTGCTCCCCCAGAGACAGTTTGAAGGGCATGTGTGGCGGCAGGGAGGAGAGGTTCCACTCATGCAATGACTTAGTTGGATGCAATTCTTAACTACTATTGCTGAAAAAGGTCAACATCACCATTGCTAAGCAATTGTGTGTTTGCCCCCTTAACGAGACCCTGCATCGTTGTAGACTGACTTTCTTTACTCAGTCTGCATCCCATATTTAGAGAGCAGTGATACATCTGGGCAAGATAGAGAAGGTATACCAGGCAAGGAAGCACATAACAGTCCTTTTTGTAGAATTATAGTCTCCAGTTGCCTGTTTTTGAATGGGCAATCTGGTAGATTACTTTATTTATAAAGCCATAAACAAATCTTGAACATAAGCCAAAAAATACAAGCTCAAAGTAAAAAAAAAAAATTACAACAGATGATAGCTGAGAGAGCTGCTGCAGAATTTTTTTCCTGCTACATACATACAGTGGTTTTAAATGATTTGTTGAAGTGGTCTTTCCATGACTTGTACATTCAAACAGGCTTCAGGAAATCAAATATGTGATTAAAGAACTGAAATTGTCATATATGAATTATAGACTCAAGAGTAAAACATGAAGGGTAAAGCTTTCATTAAAAAAACATATAAATTGTATTGACACACAAGACTTCATATAGCATTTCTAGAGATCTACTTTTTGGCATTTAAGTGACTTTTTGGGGAATCTGTTACTTGCTGTATGGGATATAGATAGTTTGTGCCTTTTGGTAATCCATCATTGTAAACAGTTGCTAAAAACAATGCAGTTGTTCCTAGTTTCATAAATGTTAATCTGCATGCTTATCAACACATTCAACTCCATTTTTATTTAAGTAGCTATGTACACCTAATGGCCCTGAATCTGTACGTATACTGAGATGCAAATCTGCTTGGGCTGTTGTTGCATAGGCAAGGGGACTACACAGAATTTCAGAGTAGATGAGACAGATTTTTTTCTGGAAGGAGAGAGAAATGGGGCACTAGTTCTTTTGCACAGTCCTTAAATTGACTTGTGAGATAGGACTATCTTCCCTACTGCTATCTTTCGTTCAGTTCTCAGGTTGCATGAATGAAAGCAATGTAAGAAATATGAAATCCAATCTACCCTTCCTCCTTCTGATATATTTCTTTATAGACCTTTTCCCGACAGGGCTCAAGGCAGCTTACATATAAAAATGAGAACCGTTAAAAACATAGAAAATGCCATTGTTGAACCACTCCCCAAACTGGGACACAATAACTTACATTAAATGTATTTATTTGTATTTGTTTTATGAAAAAAAGAAAAGGGCTAGCATATGATGAAGGCTTGAAATATGTATGCTGTTTGCAGCTGAATGAAAAATGGAATTGTCAATGTGTTTCAGCAGGGGTGCACTCCTCAATCCACACCAAATTTAAGTCTAAATCTGAGGTATGTATTGTTGAATATATTTCTAATATCAAATTTCTAGCTGGCCTTTCACATATATCTTCTCTACCACTTCCCTGCCATGTTGTGGGGAAAATTCAGGACAAGTGTAGAGTATTTATTACGTGTACAAAAGAAAGTTTCTTACAAGAAAATTGCACTGACTGCAGTTGCAAACTGGTAAATCCTTTTTGCATTGGTAGAATATTGCCTATCTTAAATTTGTTTCCAAGGCAAAATTTTGGATATGTTTTCCCCAAAGTTGGAGAAGCAAACACTGCTTTGAATTGGAGGGACCATTGAAAATAATCCCAACGTGGTCATCTGCTGCAGCCACTGTCTTAATAAAATATATTTAAATTTTCTGATACATTTTCTTAGAGATATTGGAGGAAAAGCCTGTCCAGCTCTTTCACTGATTAAAAAGCTCACGATAACAGATGCCTCATGAGGTTCACAGATCTTTTTACTAGATAAGGATGACACACTTTTTCTCAGGAATAAGAGGACTCCCCCAAATATGACTCCCCCATATTGCAAACCATTTGAGATTTTGTGCCTTTGCTGCAAAATCATATTTTCAAGTAACTTTTTTTCTTCAAGTAATACAACTGAGTGTAATGCAGCTGCTACCTAGATTTGGGCCTTAGATTTCACAGTTTCTCCTTTAGTAGTTGGGTAGGAACATACCAGCTTTTAACTAATGATGATTTTAGCCTATGTTGTGTGTGTATTCGCATGCATGTATGTACAAGAGGAAAGGCTTTGCCAGTACAGTAAGGGCAGTGGTGTGCGCATATTTTGTATATAACAGGAAAAATAACAGGAAAAAACTTGACATTTTAAAAAAATAAGAAATCATGATTGTGTGTGGTATATAAATATTTAACCAGAAAATTTACTCTCATATACATACTATATTGATCTCAGAAAAATTGAGAGTGAAATTAATTCAGGGTGCAGAGATGGGAGGAAATCAAGAATATTTCAGTGATATAAATGGAACATGTCCAGATTACCACATAACACACAAGGGCTTTTTAGATGTGTGCCTCTTTGTGCCAGTGTACTTGTGCTTGCAAAGTTCCACTGCAATTAAGCAACATTTTTAAAGATTGTCTAGGAATAGGTTTTGGAATACTGCAAAAAAAATACTGTTAAAAAGGGAGGGGGGATACTAGTGCAAACAAGCTTTATATACTGTAGAGCTTATTCCAATATGTAGAAAAATAGTTTAGGCCTTTACGTATTTGCTTTAAATACAAAAATAGATTGGATATTAAAACGTTGCATTCTGATTATACCGCTGCAATAATTGCAATACTGTGCTTTGTGTTCAAAATGATGCAGGTGAAAAGAAGAGACTTCCTGGTTGTGTTAGTGCGCACTTTTTTCAAACAGGAAAGACAGGCTTGCTAAAAAAAAAAAAATGGGAACAACAGTATTTTAGTGAGGTTAATGTGAATATGACTCATGTGACCTAGGTTTTTAAGGCTGTAATCCTAGCACTACTCCCATATGTCACCATTACGCTAGTTGAATTCTCAGTGTAGACTTCCGCTAGTGGGACTAGTTAGTTGAATCTGGCCCATATGTTCAGTATCTGGAAGTCGTTTATTTTGGCAAGAAATCTTTTATGTTTGGATTCAGTTTTACCAAATGGTTAAATTGTTTTGGCAACTTTCTGCCCATGATTTCAGTAATTGTGCCAGTTTGGTCAGGCTAGAGAAGTGGTGTTACAGGAGGAAAAGTGAACATGAGTTTAAGGTTTGCTTGCATTATATTTGTCACTCCTGCCTGAGGCTACATACCTTTTCAGCTTCATTTGATGCTTTTGAGTTGAATGGAGCATCTCTTGTGTGGTTCAACTTTGTGTCCACACACTGGAGTAGGTGCTTATGCCCCTTGTATACAAGTGGGTTTATATTAAAACTTGCTGAAGTATAACTGTGAAGGACATAGGACTCATTGCACAGTGAGAGAATAACACCACCTGCAAATTTTAGCTATTCCATAATATGCATTTTCCTATCCTTTCTCCAAGAGGCCTTTTCCTTTCTGCAGTATTTTAATACACATGGCATTCTGTGTGTGTTTGGGTCCTTCAAGAAAAATAACACACAGGTTGTTGCTTGACTTTAGGGCTAATAAGCAGCCATCTTTGCCTTAGCACTGGGAATGCAATGTGGGCAGGGAGCACATAGCCCCCAAATATCATTTTTTAAAATAAAGATTGCACAATAGGCTGAGGTGTTTGAGCAACTAATGGAATGGGACTAGGTTTAGGTTTTACAGCTCTCTGACAGAAATTGTATGGCATACTATTTCTAACAAGCAGGGCTTACATCGCTAAATTTGTAATATATTCCATGATCTGTGTAACAGTGTTTAGTACAGAGTGAGAAAATTCAGCAACATCAGGATCCCTGCATACT